TAAAATCGCTGTTTTTTTTAAGTAAACTCACTCTAAAAAGAGAAAAGCACAGACACGCAATTGGCAATATTTGAGAAAAGGGTTTAGCGATTTCTAATTATTGGGGGGACTAGCCCCCCTCAATGTCTACGGTGGTTATCGCCCTGATCAGACATGAATGTAACGGGCAGGCAGAGCAGGTGGCAATGGCGGAGCAGGCAGGGCGGGGGGCCATGGCGGAGCAGGCAGAGCGGGGGGCCATGGCGGAGCAGGCAGAGCAGGGCGATATTAGCGATTTTTTTGCAAACATTTCTTTGAGTAACATGACCGTAAATATGAACTCACGATTTAATGTAACATAAAACAAATGATTACTTTTCGTTAAAATCTTTATTAATGCCAAAAATGCTTACATTTATGTGTGTTTTTGTTCGCTCCGGCAGCCATGTTGCCCCTGAAGCCGATTTATGCTGAGATAATTCATACCCCTTCGTTTGAAGTGTGGTCCCGAAAAATCTTCGTTTGAAGGGCTATCTGGCCCTTACCCTCCCCCCTACCCCTCCAACCAAAAGAGAATCGAGACACCCCTACCCCTTCACGTGAACGCGCGAAACAGAGGGGTAGGGGAAAGGAGAAGGGCTAAGGGGTAGAAATGGGATTGGGCACGCGAAACGGAGGGGTAGGGGAAAGGGGAAGGGCTAAGGGGTAGAATTGGGATTGGGCCTAATAATGCAATAATGTATGAATTGTGAATGTCAAGCCAGTATGTGGTCATTTGGATTATGCTGACTGATCTGTTCCAGTGATTGTCCAATGAGATTCTAACATTCTCTAGTATTTCTGTTTGGATCATGTCTAGACATAATACACTTCCTAATACAACAGTGTTAATCCCAAGGAGAGTCTGAAACGAACAAATATATTCCAAGATGACATGCACAGCCGCCTCACCTTCATAGCGCAGGACCTGTTCCACGATCTCACCAACTCGGCTGCCCTCAGGTCCTGCCAGGTGATGAAATTATGAAACGGTTTTCCCGTGTTTCTGGAGATGATAACAAAAGAATATATGCCACCTCAGTCAGTTCACTAAGTTTTCTGCAAAACAATCACGGGATTTAATGTATACGAACCTGTCCCATGTTATGAACGTTGCCCTCTGGGTTGAGATGCCAAGACTTTCCATTTGGCACATCTGTAAGCCTGAGTCTAAACCAAAGAGATAGAAGAGGAGAGGAGTCTTGTCATTATTGTAAGCTTATTGTAAACTTATGGACCTACATTTATCACAGAGGATTTATTTCCAAGACAAAATGTAAAGGCCTTTCTATCTAAACTGATATGTACCTCTGTTGCAGTAAATATAACTATGAAGTCTTAAAAGATGATGTGAGTTTAATGAGTAAAACATCCTTATTTGTAGCGTTTTTAGCATTTCAATTAAGATTATGTTTATATAACGAATTTTAAATAATTTCATCCTTCTAGATGTTTGCTAAGCACCTCTAGTGGGCCTCAGACCCTTGACTGAGAACCACTTATATATCAGATTGCACATCAAAATGATTTACAGTAGCCCTGAAAAGTACATTAACACCTTCTCAAATCAAACATCCAATATGCTGGATTCATTTGTTTTAGATTCTCTTTCCAAACTGCCTTGTGTATTTATTTATTTATTGGGAAACATAAAACTACATTCATAAAAGGCAACATGTGAAAGTAATGCTCAACACAGTTTTTTTTTTAATGCTATTGCATTTTCATTTTCATATAACAATTTTTTAGGTGGATTTTCATGTCCAGTATGCTGAACGTTTGGACTTTAAAATTGTACACAGTGTCATATTACACATTAACATATGTTCCATAACACTAACTTTAATAATGCCTAAACTGCTCCAGGATGACGCAATTACAAAAAAGCTGTTCATTAGTTTCACTCACCGTTTACTCAGAAAACAAACAAAAAAGTAATTCTTTTAATTAAAAGTAATTAAGTATTAAACATGCATTATTAATGATATTTTATATAATAAACCTGTTAAAAATGCACATGCAGAAGACAGTAAAAATGCTGGGCTCGATTAATCTTGCAACACCAGTGAAAATTCTCTGATTTAATACATTTAATTATAATACAGTTTATCCCTACAAAACACAGAAAGATTGATTGCAGTTTGCTATTTAATGTGCAGCATTTGTTTTAACATCATTTGTTTGCAAGCATGCCACTAGATTTAATGTTCTGAAATATGATGCAATGACATTTATAATTTTTTTTTAAAAAGTAACTTGTGTCCAAAAAGGTTTTGGGGGCGATGTATGCTTGTGAGATAATATAGCCAAAATAAAGATGCCTGACCTTGAACTGCTCCTTTGACTACAGTCACAAACCCTTTCCACAGATCCTCAGGGTCAATCTCTACATATCCAGGCTGAGGATAAAGTAGGGACACCTGTAACAAGGAAGCTGTTATCAGATTTCACACACTGGAAGGCACTGGCAGTCCTGACAAGACCTGCTGTCATTTACCTTCGTGGAGCAGGATCCCCTGATACTGGCGCTCTTATCGTACACATGGCACCTGATTGAGGTTGTTCCCACATCAACAGAGAGAATGAAAGTCTCTCGTTTGCTGAAGCCGTTTCTCTGAGTCCCCATTGCACAATGCGTTCATTCAGAAAGCCGCAAAGATACTTTAGTCACCATGGCTTGAGTCAAATTATCCCGTTTTCAACTTTGCTCCGTAGACCTTTGAGTTTCATTCCTCCATAAACTTGAGCGCCAGACCACTGGCAGATTTTTTAATCCGTTAAGAAAGCCGATTTAATGAGTTCACATCA